TGTGTGGCTTTGGTCAGAGTTGGTTTTGTTTCTGTGTTGGAGTGCAAGCCTTGCATTTGTTAGGCCCTTTAGCTGTATCACAGAGCTAAATCCATAGCATGGAGTTATTTATAATTAGCACACATTAAATATTTACTCAGCCAATGACCGTGCTATGCCGTATTTCAGTTTGGGGAGGGGGTCTCTGATTGAGGAGGAAACTGAGACACAGTTAACATTTTCCCACATTGACACACGGGGCAGACTGAGTAGTTTGACCTGGGCTGCTCTCTTCCCCTCAGGTGTTTGCAGATAATCCTGTATCTCACCTCCTGTCTGTGAGGATTGCTTTGGGTTTCTAGAAACGGGGCCTTGGAGGTAGTTATCTGTTTTTACTTACCAGGAATTTCAGCATTCCTGGTTAATGGCCAATGCTGTTAGGGAAGACAACTCTACCTTTTCATTATCTTTTTTCCTGAAGGCTCCAGAATGGCCACTGCAGCTCAGACGAACACTTACAAGTTCCAGATAGGAAGAGAGATGGGCCTACCAGCCTTATTTGTTCCCTTATTTAAAAAATCTCGCCCCCTTCACCTGACTGTAGACTGCTCATGAGTCTCGGCGGAAGTGGGCCATGTAACTGTCTAGCTGCAAGGGAGGCGGGAAGAACAAGCACTCGGTGTTGACAATTGGGGAGATGGGCCTAGGCGAGGTGTGAACCGACACGGGACTTGCCCGGGACCTGTGCACATCACCCTGCAAACCTAAAACCCTCCTAGGTAGCGAGCAGCGCCAAACATGACACAAACTTCATGGAAACGGTTGTTGCTTTGTTTTTGTATTGTGTAGAGAATTGCTCAGTAAGTAATTATCCCCCAAGTGTTTCCAGCTGGCCCCTGGCTGACTCTTGAGCTGTAGAACCCACCAATCCAGGGGCCGGTTGTACCTCCTTACACAGCACTGCACCACCAGTCTGGGGGGGGGGCTGATTGTATCTCCCTATACCACATTGTACCCGGATGTGGGGGCCGATTGTGTCTCCCCACACTGCGCACTGCGGCCCACTTGTTGGTCTGTAAGGCTGTCCACAGGTGACGCCGGCTCTCCAGCCTGCCGGGGGCCCACCCGTGGCACCTGATAGGCATCAGGGGGTGGCAGGCAGCTTACCAGGCCCCGGCCCCTAGCACAGCGCTGAGCTCTTGGTCTTGGCAGGACACTTGCTGCTGGTGGACAGGCAGAAGCCTGGGCCTGGGTGACCACATGTTCTGGAAAAGGCTGTGCCTTGGCATGTGGAGCGGGTGGTGTGGCCTCTGCCCGGGCTTGGCAGCAACAAGCTGGCCCGGGCATGTGCCTTGCGCAGACAAGGAGGCAGCCGGCCGGGGAGACGATGCCAGAGCAGGCTGCTGGCAGCCTCCGGCCGGCCTCCAGGCCTGCCCAGCGCGGTGGGGAGCAGATGGGTCCTCGCCTTAGCAGTCGGGGGAGTTTCTTGTGGTGCCTCCTTGGTCCTGCAGACTTAGAAGCATCCTCTTGCTGTGCCCAGTTGGTGCGTTAGCATTCAGGAAGGGGCCACACGCTGCTGTCACAGCCCCGCAGCTGTGGCCCACGTGCAGTGCAGGACCTGTCATGCGAGGGTGTGGTCGGCGCCATGTGTAGGCCTGGCCCGAGAGATGCGCAGCCCCCTGCCACAGACATTCAGATAGGAGAGCCATTGGCCAAGGATGGTGCCTTCCAGTGTCCCTCCCTCTGTCCCTCCCTCCCTCCCCCCCTCCCTCCCTCCCTCCCTCCCCTCTTC